TATGATCATGATTAGTAATAGGATTACTATGACTACTACTATTACTACGACTACTACTACTACTAGTGTTTAGGTTAATCGTAGTATCATCATGATCATCATTATCATCCTGGATGGTTGATTTTGTTGTTGTAATATGATGATAGAGAATATGTATAAGACATTGAATTTGATCCGTAAATGTTTGTTCGCATCCATTACAACGATAATCAGTTATCATATGTTTATTTTGTAAATGAATCTGAAATTTTAAACAAAATAATCAGTATCAAAATCTGATCTGACAACAAAATAAGATCAAGTTCAATGATCTAGTATTTATGGCAAGACTCTAATTTATGGACGAGTAAATCAGAAGCGTTTGAAGGATTTCATAGTTACGGAGCCAAGTTCAACACCCGATGCTCACATACGATCGGTTTATAGCGGATTTTAGAGAAGAGGTGACTATTAAGAAGTTCCTGTATCTGTAACTGCGGTTATCAAATGACTGAAGTAAAATGTGCAGACTATCGTGATGAGATTGTATTTCGTTGTTCTTTATGTTGGAGAGAAAAGTCTGCTCGAACGGGGACTTTCTTAGCTCGATCGCGACTGAGACTAAGGCAAATCATGATAATAGTTGCAAATCGGATTATAAAGACACCAGTAACACTGACTACAGTGTTTAAAGATGTTACTAAAACTTCAGCCGTCCAATGGTATGAGTATTGTCGTGATATATGTGTACTTAAAATGACACGTCTACACCAATTATTCGGAGTCGGAAGTATTGTGGAAATAGATGAAACGGTAGTGAGAAAGCGAAAATACAACAGGGGACGTAGTAACAAGGAAGATTGGGTAAGTAGCACTTCCGTAAATGTACCTGACAGGTACTTGGAAGTTATGATCGCTCAACGCAAAAGGGGCATTTTCAGAGGGTCAGAAACCGGCGAGCAAGCACAATATTACCAATTATACAGGAATACATGCAGCCAGGCACTACGGTATATATAGATGATTGGAGAGCGTATAGATGCTCTCAGAGACTTGGGTATGTCCATCAACGTCATTTTGTCGACCCTACTACTGGCGTTCATACTAACAACATTGAAGCCATGTGGTCGAGATTGAACGAATTTTTAAGACCGTACCATGGCTCCAGAGGACGACTATTATGGAGCCATATGGACGAGTTCCTATATCGTATGCATGATGATTTCAGAACATCTGAAACTTTATCAAACCTTAACAAGTTTTTAAACCACGTAAAAGAAGAATATCCACTGTAATTCATCAGTTTCTTATAATATATTTTTACTTTATACTAACTGTCTTCTGATTGGCTAATAACTGACAAGGTCATTTAATATTCGTTCAAAGGTCGTCCCTGGATGAGAGTCTCGCCGTGGCGACTTGTTTGAACATCTGAACTACCTGTTCCTACCATTGATCTAGATATTTCAACATGTTATCTAGTTTTGTTTGTTTGTTTTAATACATTGTGGGGCCTGAGATCTGACTCTAATTAGATCGTAATGAATGTTTGTTATCGTCTATCCTCGTTTATAATCATCGACTTAAATCGCATTAGTCAATAACGGATTTAGATAAGTCAAATAACGAGAATGGACTTTTGAATACATATAGTTTGTATATGAAGTGAACGGAATAGGACGAAGCAAAACGACGCGTAGTGGAGATGGCGATTAAGCGAACTCCCATTTAACCAAACGTTAATCAACATTTATAGTTACAGAAAAGTGTATTACAGACATGTGATGAGTAATGGGATAAGAAATGTACACATACCTACGCGCTCATATGAAAACCGTCAAGATTGATAAGCGAATAAATAAGAAGGTCAGAATATGACTCAAGTAGAATGAATAGAATGGGCTGTCCGAATGCTAGAATAAGGTATATGGGTTTAACATAATAACCTACACTACAACATCACTATTGGCTATTCATCACATAACCTATTCAGATGTGTTTCTGATAACTGTACAACCTTTCGTTGCATAAGTTACAAAAGGACCTAATCAGAGATATAGTGGTTACTGGTAATATGCAGTAAAATGAATGTACATTGTTTAGATGTCGATTGATTGGACCGCTAACTTCTAACTGGTGATCACTCAATATGTTATCGTCAGAATCGATCAAGAAATAAGAAATGAGAAACTTGTTGAAATACTTTGCGCAGAGAATTTTATATTGTACCAAAAAAATTTGGCATTTTCCTGGTTAGCGTTTTTATTAGCTGGGGTCACTAACCCTATGTCAAACCCTCCTCCTTTACCCGGGTTCGAGACCGGCAGTAATACTAGAAGTGTTACATCGGGAAATAAAAGTAGATATGGAAAGAATAAATAACAAGTGGAAAAAGCTGGAAAGGATTGCCCAGGACAGGGTTGGATGAAGAATGCTGGTGGGTGGCCTATACTCCTCCGCGAGGGATAACAAGCGTAAGTAAGTAACTAAAAAAATTTAATATTAAATAAAGCTAATAATAATAGTAGTACGCAATCTGCAGAAAGTCCTGGAGCTAAGTTTTGTTCACAATGACTAAGTGAAGTCAGAGAACTACATTGATTATCGTTAACTTTACATATTTTGCTTGGATTCTAAATTAACTAGACTGGTATTGATATGATGAATGTGCTTGAAATAATCCAACCTACCGACTAAGTTTGTGAATCGTTTGAAAATTAAGTGAAACGTTATCAAATCGGCAATTAGGTGATGAAGAAGACAAAGTAATAGCACTGTCAATACAAATCCATATATTATCTTCGAAACTGGGGAAGAAGTTGGATGTAAGATGTTAACTTCTGTGGTCATTCTTACATTTTTATACAAAAGAATCAATTCAATATGATATTTTATGGATAATGAATAAACATAAATAATGTCCAATTGATTGATCGCTGAGACGTTACAACTGAGCTAGTCGGGCCGTGATCGACCTACTGTAGGTTTGAGATGTATTTATCATTGACTGATTGTGAAGCTGAGTAATCCGAGATCGAATCCGTCAGGGAGCACTAGTTCCCTCAAGATTAAAGGTACACCTTGCTAACAAGTGCCAAGTAGCACGAAACCTGAGTCCAGAATTCCCTGTTGACTACCCCCAACCACCATCTTATCTCAACATAGCGTATGATGTTTTCTCTTGATCAAACATATGAAACTCGCGTTTATGAATCCAATATTGATATTCTAATTAAGACCAATATTTAGTTTTCTTTCTCTAAGTTATTAAACTATAATAGTAATAACACTTGACTGTCAATTCACAACAGAATAAAACACCCTCACCCTCTCACAATAGTGCACACAGCGTCGAGGCACCTAGACTGGTGGCCACATTGAATCATGCTCGAAAGCATTCGATCTGCAGTAATAGGGACTAGACACACATGACATTGGTCACCACTCAGTGATCAATCAATTGTGATTACATCTCAGTCCTAAAGGAGGTCGGTCGCGTCCCGGATAGCTCATTGGTAACGTCTGTAACTGTGAAGCTGGGTGACACGGGATCGAATCCATCAGGGAGCACCAGTTCCCTCGAGATTACAGGTACATCTTGCTGACGAATGCCAAGTAGCCCGAAATTCGGGTCCAGGGTTTCCTGTCGATTACCTCCATCCACCATCTAATAAAACACCCTTCCAGGATTCCACTACTAGCTATTGTGTAAGGTGTAATCAACATGTAAACGTGAATAAGACTATATAATATCTATTCTAGGAGTTTGTATGTCAGTATGAACTGAGAAAAAGTAGCCCATATAAGCAATACAAATGATTACAAACGTTATAACTTGATGGGTATAGTAGATTAATGGCTAATTTAATAAAATACTCTCATTTTAAGTGATGAGTACACAGTTTAAACCTCAATATGAGTATCCATACCAATATAATGTAAAGTTTGATAGATCAGGCTTAATTCAGATGAGCATTTGTTATGCATTCAGTCATTTAGTTACAATGTAAGACCAGACACATATATGTATCGGTCCAAGTTGCCACACTTCATTAGCACAGCAAGATGAACACCGAATTCATAGAATTAGTTCATTCAATGGTGGTAATATATAAAAGAAAGATTGCATATAAAGATATAATGCATGAAGTAAGAATTGGTTCGTAAAAAGAAAGATATGAAGCCATTTTAATCTCATAGTTTAATGGAAGACAAAAAGTGTATACACCGATACCATTATGATCGATCGATTCTGAACTATATCACCCACAGACTCCAACCATTGGTTACGATAGTCATGCGGATTCTAACCAAGTAGTCTGCTATGCATTACTTAGTAAAATTTAAGAACAATACAATAAATCATTTCAGACTTTATTGTTCCTTTTGTTTCTATCCAAATTATTCTCTATTCTTGTTTTTTTTCTCTTAGATCTTTTTAACTTTCTACCGTGAAACATTTCACTTTCGATGAATGAGATATACTACTTATATTTACCAATATCAATAATATACACCATAATATCATCAATCACAATTCAATACATTAAAAAGATCGGAAGGGGGTTTTGTGGAGATTGTAGTAATTTGAACAGTTGAGATCATGAGTTAATTGATAGGTCCTGGGTTTGAATCCCTCGAGGTGAGGTCACTGTTCAGGAGTCCCACCATGGGACCAAACAGCCGTCCAATGCTTCCAGGTTTTCCATGGTGATCTAGCTTCCATTGACTCATGATCTCAACTGCTAAAATTACATTAAAAAAGAAAAAAACAACAAAGAAAGATCAAGTGAAACATACCAATAAATCAATAAATTGATTAAAATTCAATAAATGATTACATATATTACATAATAATTTATAATTATTAAATTCATTCATTGATTGATTCAAATGATTCCTTTTTTGAAATGGATCTAAATTGAATGGATTAAAATGTATAGACATATGTTGAACAAACATATAAAAATTGATTGTTTCCATTTGACATATTGAACAAATAAATATCTTTGAATTCATAGATGAATATAATAAATGATTCAATTGTTGTTGTTGATAGTGGTGGTGGTGGTCGTCGTCATGGTGTTGTTGTTGGTGGTGGTGGTGCTGGTGGTCGTCATCCTGGTGTTGTTGTTGCTGGTGTAGGTCGCGGTGATGATGGTGGTCGTCGTGGTGATCCTGTTGTTGTTGTTGTTGGTGGTGGTGTTGTTGCTGATGATGATGAATAGATTTTTGTTTATATAAATAGGATTGAGTTTTATAAATTTTTTTAAATTTTCCATATTTTTTTATTTTTATTTTTTTGGTTTTATTTAATTTATTATAAAGACGTAAATCTAATGGTAAATTAGTTTCTGAATGAATAGAAGAAATTTCATTATTCTTATGTAAATCATACATTTTGTTTTTGGTACTTTGAAAAAGAAAAAGAAAAAAAGAAAGAAGGTAAACAATGAAATATACATTATTTGTATTCATAGATTCAGTCACTTATTTTTTTAAAAGGATTCAATGATACGTAGTACTGGAAACGGAGATCTACTACAACAATCACCCTCAAATGCCCTAATAAGACCGAGAGTGGGGAGAGTCCGCTCTCCCTCTCGAAATGCTCTCACATGGCCACGCGTATATAGCATCAGCCAGGGAAGTCTTACTTATTGCCTCCTCGCGGTATTACTGTTGTTTACGAAATTGAGAAGAAGAAAAGCGAACGTCCGGCACTTTAACCGGGTTGGCGGATATACAGTTTCACCTAGGGGAGTTGGAAAACCCTAATTCCAAACCAATGGTTCACATAGTCTTCAGTATCCTGAAAGAACAAATGGGGTATGAACCAATCGTTGGTCACCGGCTACCATGGGACTGCATCTCCTTACGATGCTTCAGGTCGAAGGCTTTGAGTGTTGCCCTCCAATAAAACTACCTGCTTCGGTTTAGGCACCCGGGCAGTATCGCAGCCCTCACACATATCAAATGCGATTTGTGTGGTGCATATTTATTTGGAGCCTCATTGTACTAATATTCATGTGTTAAAACAAAATTTGAAAAAATAAAATACTATAACAATCATCAAGAAGGTGGAAGTATTTATAAATAGTTGTCTACGCTAGATACTCAACATTCTATTGACCGAATACCATCACAGCAACAGTCTAATGTAGGAGAGTACAAAACAGGTTCCAGATGAAGATGAGAATAAGGAAAAGACGTTAGAAGTGAATAGAACACATATTGATGTAATCATCAAATTGCATCACGAAGCAAGCGGTAACTTGAAATCCTGAAGGGAAATGGAAGAGTAGAAGGTTGAAGAACACATTTTGTCAAGAATTTGAAGCAGATATGAAAAAAATGAATAGCAACTGGAAAAGATTGTTGAGGATAGGGTTGGATGAAGAATGCTGGTGAGCGGCTTATGTTCCTTGACAAGAGGGATAACAGGCGTAAGTAAATAAGTCTCAGTTACTATGTTAAGCCCATATAACTCGATCTAATTTCCATTCTTCTTAAGTCATATTCTGACCTTCTCAATTACTTGCTCATTAAGCTTGGCTGTTTTTATGTAGTCGTATGCAGTGTATGCATTGCCTATTCTACTCATTACATATTTGTAGTTTATTTTTTGTGTGACTATAAATATCGATTAACTCTTGATTAAATCGAGTTGGCTTACATGCCTTCTCCATTGTGTTTCATTTCGTTTCACTCTCTCTTCTTTGTTTCAATCGTTACATCTTTCTGACCGTCTTTTCCGATCAACGATTATACAAAATATATGTATTGAGAAATCCATCCTCGTAATTGACTTATTTGAATTCCATTATACACTAACGTGCGGTTAAGTCGACAATAATCTCCGAGGATTGATGATACTATTGAGGCCATATTCAGCGTTACAAAAGATATTTCTAAATATGAAATTCAGTGTTATATGAATAATTCACTAGTTGGACAGGTTGAAAGTCTTATGTTGACATAGATTCTGTCAAGATGAAAAGTATTATTTGCTAAAATATGAGTGTAATCAAGCTACGTGGTTCCGTAGTATTAGTTCAATTTGGAAATAAGTGTTACTGGACTCAGATTTATGATTACTATATATACAACAGGAATTGTCGAAAGTTCTGGGTTCCATCCAGTGTCAAAGCTTTTAGTGTAGATGCATGTTTGAATGAATTCCATAAACAATTTTAAAATAAACATCTATATTGAGTGATTGAATTCAAATAAATATTCAGTGGAAAGCATAATAGTTTGACTCTTACTCTTATTGCCCCCTCAAATGTTCTGGTACGACCAAGAGTGGAGAGAGTCCGCTCTCTCTCCCTCTCTCCAAATGCTGTCACATGGCCACGTTTATACAGCCACTGTCAGGAAAGTCCTACTCACTAAATTCTCACGTCATTACTGTTGTTTACGAAATTGAGAAGACGAAAAGTGAATGTCCGGCGCTCTAACCGGGTTGGTGGACATGGAGAGAGTCCATCTAGAGGAGTTGGGAAACCCTCGTTTTAAACCAATGGTGCACACGGTCTCCAGGACGCTGAAGAAACAAATGACGTATGAACCAATTAATGGTCACCGGCTACCATGGGAATGCATCTTCTGAAGTTGTTTTACTGCTTTTTGGATCAGACCTTTAAGTCAAAGGCTTCGGGTGTGGCCTCTTAAGAAAACCACCTGCTTCAGTTTGGGCACTTGGGCAGTATCTCAGCCCTCACACAATTCGAGTGATTTGTGTGGCACATATCTATTTGGTGCCTCTTTCTACCGATGTTTATACATCTAAGTAATAATATTTACCCTCGTAAGACAGTGGTAGAAATGTACTTTTTTATAGACTATTTGAAACACTCTAAATAATGAATAATCATACATTAATTTCAACAGTTGAGATCATGAGTCGATTGAAGCTAGACCACCATGCAAAACTTGGAAGCACTGGACGGTCGTTCCGTTCTATTGTGGGACTCCTCAGCAGTGCGCATCCACGATCTTGCCTGTCGAGATTCGAACCCAGGACCTATCAGTATCGCGCATGAGTGCTTAACCTCTAGATAACTCAGCTGACTGGTATCCAACGGTGTTAATGTCTAACTTCAACTAATCCACGAAATTGAGCGACAAATATACCATTGTCTTCAGTGAGTTACTACCTCGCAACTGACCCGGTTAAACTCCACTGGTTACTGCTGCTCACCAGAACTCCAGGAATCCCACAATAAGACGAAACGGCCGTCCAATGCTTCCAGTTTTTCCATGGTAGTCTAGCTTCAATTGACTCATGATCTCAACTGTTGAAATTACTACAATCTCCACAAAACCCTTTCTGATACTAGTCATACTTTATTCCAACGATTGAACCAATTTTACCAAAGTGTATTACTTAAATATAGTTCAGATATTCTTTCACTAATATTAATCTTCACATGTTTAACAAGTCAAATATTAGACAATCATTTTGATAAATCATTGATATTCTACTTATCAGAAACAACATGAACATCTCATTTATCAAAAGGGATGATGGTCAAATGTCTAAAGGCAGATCTATGTATTTAAAGAAGAGGTAGTAATCAATCATTCTTTACCCTGGTAACATGACATCCCCTTTTTATTTATGACGTCACTCTTTTTAAAGTTCAAATGACATCATTGTCATGTTTTTTCCAATTCATATCTTTCTTTATTACAATTAATCTATTTTCAATAGTTGAGATCATGAATCAATTGAAGCGAGACCATCATAGAAAACCTGGAATCACTGGATGGCCATTTCGTTTTATTATGGGAATCCTCAGTAGTGTGCATCCACGACCTCACCTCGAGGGATTAGAACCCAGGACTCTATTGGAATTTTCACTACATCATGATATACATATTCATCTGTAGTCACCTTCATATTTATTATGCAGCATTAATCTTTGTTCTTCGTCTGTTTAAGAACATTTCAATCAAATATGTGAAATATCGATTTTTCATCATTACTATTTGCCAAGACTATAAGTTGTGAACAAACCAATCAGGCATAAAATAATAGATTTCGGATTTTGGCAGGAAATTCATTGGCATTATAGCTGGTCTCAATTCGTGATGAAAACCTTTAATCAAATTCTTTATCTTAAACATCAATTGTAAATCATAAATCTAATTCCTCAAGGTTTTCCAATCTACGAGGTAGTTCCTTCATGTTCACCAAGTCGGTTTGTGCGCCAGACATTCAATTTTTCATCCTTAGGGTGCCACTTCCCGAGCCTTTGACATGAAGGTCTGATCCACAAGGCAGTGGAGCATCGTAAGGAGATGCAGTTACATGAAAGCCGGTGACCAACGATTGGTTCATACGCCATTTGTTCCCGAAAGATACTGTAGCCCATGTGCACCATTGGTTTGGGATCTAGTTAAAGCACCGGACATTCGCTTTTCGTCCTCTCATCTTCGTAAACAACAGCAATGCCACAAGAAGGCAGTGAGTAGGACTTCCCTGGAAGAGGCTATATACGCATGTCCACGTGAGGGCATTTGGAGAAGGAGAGCGGACTCTCCCCACTCTCGGCCGTACCAGGGCATATCATCCCAGTCGGGATTATTAACAAAAATAATTATCATTTCATTAAGTTGATATTCAATAATAAAATTTCATTAGTAATAGTCATTAGTTCATGTTAATCAGTCAATCAGTTACAACGTAGGATCAAGCCCATTATATACAACGGTCCATGTTGCTATACCTTACTCATTAACACAACCAGGTCAATACTAAATTAATTGATGGTAGTAATATATACAAAAGAAAGATTGTGTCTAAAGGAAGAAAGAACCAGATAAAGTATAAAACAAATTTAATCTCATAGTTTAAGAGCAAACAAATAGTGTATACATCTACACTACATGATCGATGGCATTCGATCTGCAGTAATAAGGACTAGACACACATGACATTGATCACCACCCAGTGATCAATCAATTGTGATTACATCTCAGTCCTAAAGGAGGTCGGTCGCGTCCCGGATAGCTCATTGGTAACGTCTGTAACTGTGAAGCTGGGTGACACGGGATCGAATCCATCAGGGAGCACCAGTTCCCTCGAGATTACAGGTACATCTTGCTGACGAGTGCCAAGTAGCACGAAACCCGGGTCCAGAGTTTCCTGTCAACTACCTCCAACCACCATCTAATCTCAATATATAGTGCCTGCAGTGTCGATTCATCTAGACTGGTGGCC